GGTTGTCATTGGCATATGTGACCCTGGACCATAAAACCAGTCATAAGTGGCGCGGGTGTATTTGTAGCAATAGCCAAAAATACATTGTATGGGTCAAAATTATCGATTTTTCTTTTATGCCAAAAATCATTAGGATATTAAGTAAAGATCATGTTCCATGAAGATATTTTGTAAATTTCCTACCGTAAATATATCAAAAATGTATTATCATTAGTAATATGCATTGCTAAGGACTTAATTTGGAAAAATTTAAAGGTGATTTTCTCAATATTTTGATTTTTTTGCACCCTCAGATTCCAGATTTCCAAATAGTTGTATCTCGGCCAAATATTGTCCTATCCTAACAAACCATACATCAATGGAAAGCTTATTTATTCGCTGGTAGCCCTTCGGGCAGACATTCTTCAGATTTTGGTAGCCCAAAATGAATTTAAGTAGCCCGAAAAAAAAAAAGAAAAAAAAAAGACATCGGCTGAACTTCACTGCAGACAAATCAGCATGATTAAAAACTTCAGTGATTGCTTTTTTTCCTTCAAATAACAAGTCAAGAGAGTAGGGGTGCAACGGATCACAAAACCCACGGCTCGGATCATATTGCATTATCATATCAGATTTTGAGTAACAGATCGTGTCATTTTGCAGATGAGCAAAAAAAATATGGTTCTTTATTATTTAAATAACAGAATACTTCTTTGATACCACAGCAAAAACTAGTAGCATATAGGGATGTAACGATTCACTCAACGCACGATGCGATGCGATTCACGATACTGATTTCACAGTACAGTTTTCTCACAATTTTTCTTTTTAACAAAATGAGATTTAAGACAAATTATAAATGAAAATTCAGCACATTTCTTTGTTAAATTGAAATATGTCAAATAATAAAACTAACTTGAAATTTTAAAGCAAATCCCAAAACAAATAATTAAATAATACAAATAAAATAAATCTCGTCATATAAACAAACTAATGCTTTGGCTGTGCTTTTTCCATTTAAAATCAGAGGCAACCACTGCATTTTAATC